AGTAAGTTATCTATCATGGCCATTTCATTCTAGGCGACAAGAAACCTTATAAATAAATTAGTGGAGAAAGAACATAGCCAAAAGGCAATGATATCGTCTCTTGATATAGCAAAAATAGTGACTTGGGAGATGACAGCCAGCAGAAGGGGGGTAGGGTGGACTTTGGTCTGAGGTAGGGTATGTTTTTCCCTCTGGCTTGGCATGGGTATTTTGTTTACGAGGAACTTTTTTTTTTCAAAAATCATTTGCAAATTTATAGCCCTTCTCAAATGTTTATACAAATGGAACCACTTCTGGTTAGATGCTGTCATATATTAAAGCCATATAGTTATTTTAGGACGTCTGAAATGGAATATCGATATTTGGCTTAGGCCTGAAATAGTGTATGGAAAATTATTGCCCCCTCTCTACCCCCTTGTTTAGTCAAGATGGCAGGATATTGGCCTGGTTCATTTTTGGGGGTATTTATGGTCCACAACTCTGTCTCGGCCAATAAACAAGCAAAACTCGAACTTGGCCAATATCTAGCCATCTTGACCTCACGCTTGGTCAATGACCCAAATGTATCATGCAGGGTTCGTACGGGTCCTGGAAAACCTGGAAAGTCCTGGAATTTTATTGTGGCATTTTCCAGGACTGGAAAGTCCTGGAAAAGGGTTACTGGTCCTGGAAAGTTCTGGAAATATGTTAAACTAAAGGGAAAAAATATGAAATGTATGGCAGACAGTAGGGAGAATTAACATTAAGATCTTGGGAGTGAAAGGGTTAATGTGAATTTTAGAGTCCTGGAAAAATCCTGGAAATTTGTTTCTGAAAAAGGGTACGAACCCTGATCATGGAAACGAGGCCTATTTGACAACAGGACTGACTAAAGGATTCATGGCAGGTTCTTGATGAGATAATAGTGGTTTTATGCACGCCATCAGAGGAGGCAGTGTGGTTGAGTGGTTTACGGCGCTGGTGGAGGTCCCGGGCTCAAGGTTTCCACCCTGCCACTAGCAGGATTTGTTTCTCGGTAGTCCCAAGTTCAAATCCTCGGTCATGCTTT